AAACTAGGATTAGTACATCTTATTAAATGTTGGAGAGCGCTTTTTGAGTCTGTTAGAATTACAAAATAATTTAAATTAATGCTACTAATATATGTCAATGCTTCTCTAATAGCAATCAGCTCAGCATGCATTATAGAAATATTACAATTTATTTGGAGTTTCAGAGAGCTTTTACTCTGTGGATCAAAAAATGCTACTCCAATTTCATTTTTATCCTTTGACCCATCAGTAAACAAATAATAATAATTGGGGTATATTCTTTGAATTGCTTCATTACAGACTACTTTAAGATTATGTACGTTATATGTTCTTTTTGACTTATTAATTATATCTAACTTAGGTTGTATAGCTCTTGAAAAATCCACGTTGCCAATCCATGTATCGAAACTAAACATATCTAATTCTTTACTACATTGAATGGGGCTAGAAATAAGAAAATTATGGACCTGAGTTAATACAGGCTTTTTCTTTTTAGTCCAGTACGGTTTGTGGTTCAGAGTTTCGAGTTCATGAATTAATTCAATTATTTCATTATTTTCAAATGACCTGCACTTTAGCCAAAATTTTGCTCCTAAAAAATATCTACGAAAGGCCAATGGCTCAAGGTGGAGTTCCGATTCCATTACATGTATAGCTGTACTCTTTACAAAACCCCCAATAATTCGCATACAACAGTTTTGAATTATATCTATTTTCCTTAAATGTGTATTTGCACTATTACCATATAAAAAGCATGCATAGTCCAGCTTACTACGAATAAGTGAAAGATAAAGCCGTCTCAAATGGGTTGGATGAATTCCCCATTGTGAACCTGCCAATACTTTAAAAACATTAACATATTTTAAACATTTATTTTTAAGCTCATTTAAGTGCTTTGACCATCTCATAGATCGATCTAACCACAAGCCTAGATATTTATATGTGTCGACTACGGGTAGTGATACTCCATCAATTTTTAAGTCAATATTATCTCGTTTACTGCCGGATTTAAAAAAAACTACTTTACTTTTAGCACTTGAAATATTTAAACCTATATCGTTTAAAAGTTTGGATACTAAATTTAATGCAGCTTGTAATATTTCAGTATCTCGCTGTGCATTATCACAGATTGAGTATAAGACGAAGTCATCAGCGTACTGCGAGATAAATACACTGGTTACGAGTTTACATATATTTGAAGTAACCATATTAAATAGCAATGGTGAAAGAGGATCCCCTTGAGCTAACCCTCGGCCTGAGCTTCTACAAATATTATGATTCTCGATTTGAATTTTTAAATATCTTTCTCTAAGAAAATTTTCTAAGTACGAGCAAATTTTAGAACCTACTCCTAAATTATCCATAATATGTAATAGACTGTTAACATCAACATTATTATAGGCGTTGTCAATATCAATAAAGCAACATAATGCACTGCGCCTGTTTGAAAGACCCGATTGTATTCTAGAAACGAGTGTGGTAAGATTGTGTAGTGTAGAATGACATTTTCGAAATCCCGTAACACTTTTGGATAACACATGATTTCTTTCAATAAACCATTCTAATCTATTGAGTAAAATGCTATGAAAGACTTTACATAAACATGACATCATGGAAATCGGTCTAAAGGACGCAATGTCTTGTGGATCACGCCCCTGTTTTGGGATTGGTAATATAATAATATCTCGCCATTGTCGAGGTACAAAAGAGTTTGTTAGAAATTTATTACAAATTTCTGTTAATACTAGTTTACCATTATGAGGCAAATGTTTTATCATTGAGTAAGATATGTTATCAGATCCTGGAGATGTATCCTTAGTTTTAATGCATTTTTCAACCTCTAAAAGCGTAATAAGTGTCTCTAACTTCGTATTTGTTGATGTAAAAAATTGTTTATTAGGAACTGTAAAATCAGGTGTTAAGTTTCGTAATAGTTCATTAGCTTTCCCTTCGTCAATATATTTTCTTGGACGTTTGTAGCCTTTTACCCATTGCATCTTTTTCCATACTTCACCCAGCGACAGAGACTCGTCGACAGATGAGCACATGTTCTGCCACGAGTGTGAACGAGCATTACGCATCCTAAGTTGTGATAGACGTATCTTATCCTGTAGCTCGGTTAGATTATCAGGTATGGGGTTACGTCGGAATTTTGCGAGTGCTAAACGTCGTTCTGCTACAGACTTGGAAAGGTTTTGATTCCAGTAAGGCCTCGGTGTAAACTTACTACATGGGTTATTGCATGTTATAATGTAGGGAATATAGATATCGGCTGCCAGATACATGATTTCTACAAAACTATCGTATAGGTGTTGCAAATCATTAGACACATTGAACTCTAAAAATAATCTTTCTAGTAGTTCTGTATAAGATTTCCAATCTGCTTTTTTAAAATACATACATATACAGATTTGGCTTAGTTAGAATTTTATTATGTGTACCTACAGATGTAAGTTTTTATGAGTGTTAGTGCATACTAAAACGGCTGGATGGATTTGAATAAAATTTGGTATACAGGCTATGACTTAAAATAACTCATATGCTACCATCAGAAAAAAGATTTGCCAAAGAATGGCACTGTATGTATATATATATATATATGATATTATCAACTCGCGGTTAATTTCTACGATATCCATTGCTAACCGAGCCACCTGTAGGTCGGCAGTCCCTGACAGGTTATAAAAAAAAAACGCATCTAAGATAGAAAAATGCAATGAACAATGTTTTAAGCTCTCTAGCTTAAAAGCTTACTACTATCTAGCTTAAAAAAGTACTGTATGGTCTTTCTAAATTCCATCAAAATCTGTTCAGCGATTTCAACGTGAAATGGTGACACATAGACAGAGATAATTTTATATTTATAAGGTACATGCAATACCCGCGGCTTCGCCCGCGTTCAAACTTTCGATTGCTACCAAACTTCACAGGATCACCTGCTGGGCTAATACGAAAATTACCTGAAAATTTCTTCAAAATTGCTCCAGCTCCTTTGGAGTCCATAGGGAACATATCAAATATATATAGATTAGAATAAAAATATATTCTAATCTATATATATTTGATATGTGTATGTAGGTACACACATATCAAATAAATATATATAGAATATATTTTTAACCTCACCATATTTTTATCTATACATATAATAAAATACTTTTATTGGGGGGGGGGGGGTCTTTATTAATGGAATAGAACTCAAAACGATGTTTTTTAGAATTTTTGTATGTTTCTCTGTGCGTTTGTGCGCTCTAATCTCAGAAACGGCTTAACCGATTTTGATGCGGTTTTCACTAATGTATTATGGTAAGGTTTACTTATCATTTAGTATTGTTTTAATTTATGAATAAAAAAGTTATTTCAAGTTCAAGAATCACCGAACGTGGCGAGAGTGAATCGCTAGTTTTAAAATAATTCATATTTGAAAGAATTTGTACTATAAATATGTGGAATTATTTTATAACCTATTCAAATGATTTTAAAAATGATATTTGTAAAATGAACACTACATTCTTTACAGCTGCTAGTTTCAGAATTAACTTCAATACATCTTAAATAGAATAAAACAGACAGATTTTGATGCGGTTTTCACAAATGCTTAGATAATTTTTATGAAAGATCAATTAAAAAAAAAAGGTTTTCAAGCACCTACATGAGTTACGCCGTCTGAACTTTAATACTATATAGTAATGTCTAAATTAAAAATGTAGATCAAAATATATACAGATATAAACACAATTGGCACGCTTTAAAGCCATTAACAAGAAAATTGAATTGAATACATACACATGAGAAAATTGAATTGAATTGAATATAGAGATAAATATATTAATTAGAATAAATTTGTACAATTGGCAACTACTAATGCTAGTTCCAAAAGCAGTCGCTAGGGAAAAAGGTTTATAGAAAAAGTCCAAAAAATTCATCCAATTCCTTTAAAATAATTCCAACAAAGTTGAAATTGTAAAAAATAGCAGACAAAATACTAAAAATTAATGATATTTCTGCTATTTCCTATTATATAATTTTCTACTATTTCTGACCGATTTCAAATAAAGGAGAATCAATATTTTTGGTGTCATGCGATATATTTGCAATGTTTGCTGATTTTAATGATTATTTTAATGATTATGTAACCCTCAAAGTATCTCATATAAGATGTAAATTTCAAAAATCTACCTTTAATGATGATTATTCATGAAATCATTAATGATTTTAAATTGGGAGTATTTTTTATTATAATAGGTACTAGTGATTTATTATAAAACATAAATAAATCTATACAACAGGGAACGGGGAACTGTACATTTTTTCGGAATAAAAAGTAGCTTATGTATTATTCCAAACTATAATCTATCTCTGTGCCAAATTTCATCCAGATCCGTTCAGCTGTTCTGGCGTTATTGAGTAACAAACATCCAAAAATCCATCTAAATTTTTACATTTATAATATTAGTAGGATCGTTCAAAAGCAATTATTTCTGAAAATAAATGTACTTAGTATATATTGAGGTGATAAGATTTTATTTTACGTACTTCGATCTCAATAAGATTTTACTATATATTAAAAAAAATAAAAAGACATTTAAAAATATGAGTAATGTTTATTATATCACAATCTAAACATAATAATTATGCAAAAAATTTCAATTCATTTAATATAATCGTAATCCAACAAGCAAAATACAGTCGTTTTGTTAAAAGCCAACTAAAATCCCATCTTTGGGCAGTTCCTTAGAGAGTTTCGCCCACCATGCAATCTTTTGCATATTGGGTCTAAATGCGCCTTAAAAACCATAATTTTTCAGTTCCAATTTAGTGATCTTTCAAATAAATAAGTTTTGAGCGATTCCCAAACTATTTTGTGTCCACAATTGAGGAGTATAATCATCAAAAGATGTTTCAAAATATCGAATAGCTTATTTCACAAAAAATAGTAAGGATCATTAAATTTACTCATTTTGCCACAAATTTGGACACAAAATTTAAAAGGGGGTTTTTTCTAATATTATATGAGTTTAATGTTTTCTAGGCAAGAGATATAATTCATAAGTGTCCTTTGGCAAGGCCACACATGCTGGCATTTGCCTCAAATCTGCTTTGTTTACTGCTGCGATATCAAATTCTTGGACAATACTTGCAAACATAACAAAACTCATAGTTGTCACTAAGGTCTGGCCTACACATGTTCTTTTACCGATGCTAAAAGGTAAGAAGTGTGGGATATTCTTCTTTACAGTGACTACTTCTTTCTCTACTTCTGCCACTTTGTTTATAGGTCCAGATCTTTCCCCATCCGATTCCATGCCTGAATCGCATTGGGAGCTGCGTCTCGCCCGACTTTTCGATTTTTCTAAGAACCTGGATGGATCAAACTTCTCAGGCTCATCCCAATATTTCGATGAAGTGTTCAATTCATAGTTATTTATGAATACGATCGTTCCTTTTTCGACGCCATAACCAGCAATGTTAGCGTTTTCCGTCGCAACATGAGGTACAATTGGGGATGATGCGTATCTAAGGCATTCTAGAACTGTGGCTTCTGTGTATGGCATAAGACTTTTATCAGATAAAGTGATAGCTCGCTTTCCTTTAGTTACACCATCAATTTCCGCTTGGATTTTCTTAGCTACTTCTGGATCTCTGGCAACTGCTGTAAGACAGAGCATCACTAAGTTTCCAACAGACGAATGACCTCCTAGAAAATCTTCCAACATGAAAATTATAGTGTTTCTATCTACATCTGGATCATCACGTAGCACTCTCAACAAACCATCCAGGAAATCCTTTTCAGGACCTTCCATGTCTAAACTAGTCTCCCTCTGCTCAACAATTCTAGATAGAATGAAAGAGCGGATATCTTGAGACCAGTTTGATAACTTATCCATATGTTTCTTGTAAAACGGAGCCAACCAAGGCAGAAAATCGACAGCATAACCTTGATTGATTTCCCAAAAAATCTCGTCGAAGTGATCTACAATTTTTCTGAATTCCACATCAGTTTCTGCATCAAACCTGACGTTACACATGTAGTTGGAGAACATGTTCATTGCTGTGGACATCAGGAGTGGTTTTAAATTGATGCTGTTGGTGGATGACCTGGTCACCTGTTTTAGGGTTTGGATCAGCTCGATAGATTCGAATGTGGCAACAGTCCCTATTCTTGAGAAGTTATCAGTGTGCTGTTTTGGTCCACAGTGACGGCGTGCGAGGTTTCTACGACGAAGCTGAAGATTCGACCAATCACACAGCGCCAAAGCTGAGGACAAAGAAAAAAATATTTAAATATAAAATATGCCTCTGCAAATACTTGAAACTTTCTTTTTAATTCTATATATAAGTAATTAAATCAAATTGTATTAACTTTTGGGACCGATTTTTAAAGAAAGAAACGTAAAAAAATCTCTCAAAATTTTTTTGCTTTGAGAACTTTTAACTATTTTACTATTAATTATTTCACACGCATCTAATTTACACAATATTCCAGAAATCCACAATTTTTTTATATATTTTTATATTTCTATGCTAAAATTACGACAATCAGTTGTTTCGTTGCTGCGTGATAAAAGGACAAACGAACAAACAACAAAGAAACACATTCGTATTTATAATATAATAAAGGATTTCTTATTTGAAAATTGAAATTGTAAACTCGGGCAATTATCCACAAACCACCAAGCCGATCGGCAAAACTTTTTTAAAGCACAAGTGTTATAAATTGTTCATTAGAGCGTGAATTTCCTGCGTCATTGATTTTTGTAGAAAAACATGTTATGTAAATCTGTAAACGGATTTATAAAGCTGGTGGAGCTTTGTGCAAGCTTATTTAGTACTAGCATTGCCCGCGGCTCCGCCCGCGTTCAGATGACCACAAACCAAATTCCTGGGTTTTACATATTAGTATACTCTTACATTGCAGTTTTCGTATTTTTTCTCAAAAATGAGATATTTTCCCGCGGTAACAAGTATCCTATATGTTGACCCGGATAACCAGTTATCACCATACCAAATTTCATCGAAATCCTTCCCGTGGTTTTTCTGTGATGCGGTAACAGACAAACAGACTGACGGACAAAAATTCTAAAAACTATAGATTCGGCCTCTGTATCGATAATAAAGTCTATTTCAATTAGATTTTCCAAAAAAAAAATGTATGTACAGATTTGACTTAGTTACAATTTTATTATATGTAGGTATAGACTCATCCTTGCTCCGCTCGGGTTCTTCCCTAGATACGTTTTAACGTAGGTATAGTATAGATTTCTCAGAGATGAGATATTTTCCCGCATTACATGTTAACCTGGATAACCAGCTATTATCATTTTATTTTTAATTTATTTTATTTTTATCACACCAAAATTCATCAAAATTGATATGGTACCGATACGATAATATAAACAAATAATAAGAAAAATAACACATAAATTACTTTTTATCCCATAAACATGTATGATTCTCGTGGGATAGATTTGTTTTTGTTTAGGGATGAACCCGGAACGTAGCGAGGATGAGTCGCTAGTATCCAATAAATGGTATTCAAGCTTTGCAAAGTCTATATTGATCCCTGTTAGACTTTCAAAGGCTTTCAAAAGCAAGTTAAATTGTTAAAAAAATTATACATATATATATAAAAAAAGAAGGAAGGTAACAATATTAAATATGCACATATTTAGTAGTGAATGTTTTTGTGAAAATATAAATCAATTTCAAATTCATGAATGATCTACTCAAAATATATGTGAATCTGAATCAATAAATCATGCAAATATCTTATAGCATTCAAAAACAACACTCAAGACTTCCAAAGTCGGTTAAAAAGTAAAAAAATAGTAATAAATAATTGTGTTTACTCAAAAACCACAAAAGATATACAAAAGAGTTTCTTCAATCTAAAACAACGTGAAACCTCAAAATAATAATACAATATGTAACATTAACACACAACACTATCTAGTTCCATGGTAAGCTACGAGGCTTGTGTTATGGATACCAGATAGTTGATACACTACACATATATAACTTTAAATACAATACATATATATTATAAATATAAACACCCATGACTGGAGTACAAACATTCGTGCTCATCACACAATTGAATGCTTCCAGCGGGACTCAAACCCGCGACCGCTGGCACAGCAAGCAGGGTCACTACAAACTGAGCCAAACGTGTCGTCGTGTCAAAATGATTTAAAAGTAGTATTACCTGAAATGAAATTTACCATAGTCCTACTTCCTATTATTTTGTGAGGATGAATGGATGTAATGTATGTTTGTTCACGCAAAAACGACTAAACAGCTTTAAATGAAACTTTACAGTAATATAGTTCATACATCAGAGTAGCGTATAGGCTATCACTTATAAAGATATAGCTATAGTACATATTTAAAGTACGCGGGCAGAAACATAGGAAGACGGTAGTAAGTTTATGAGATTTTTAAAATATCTTTTTGAAAGTTGTTTAAAAATGCTATAAAAACATATAATGTTAAATAAATATCATACCTTTTCGGAAAAGTTTAATAAAAACAATGTATTCTGTATCGATTCTATTTTAGTCGATCAATTTCCACTTGAAGCAAAATATGCGCAGACGCAAGCGGCATATCTTTGTATGCATAATCTTGTACTGACGTATCTTGCATGATTAGTTTTTCGCTTATTTAGTTGTTACTAAGGCAGAGGATTCGATTCTCGGTTGAGGTAGAAATATTTATTAGGGTAATCCATACTAGTATTATAAATGGGACAACAACTCTGTTTATCTGTCTATTTGTTACCTTTTCACGCTTAGGCATTGATAGGTCTCTAAGTAACAAAGAAACACGTATGGTTTTTGACGTTAGTATATTAAATCAACGTCTTTCTGACAGATTTTTGGTCATGGCGCCCGATTCCTACGTGTTTGCGACAACGTATGTATGTATATTGCATGAAAATTTCAGAGATACGAGACTTGGGATTTGAACTCACTCGGTTTCCCGAGCGAGCGCATTCCCACTGGGCTACAACTAGCCTCAGTATTATTTCTTAAATATTTTAAAATATTGCAATAAATAATTTAATTAATATTAAATAACTTATATAATTGCACTAAATAATGACAATAATAAATATATAATTACTATCTGTAACAATAACAATTATATATACAATGACCATTGAAGACGTCTATAACCTCAGTCTCTCCCGAGACCATGTGCGCTGTAAAGCATTCGAAACGTCGGGAACCAAAAATCTAAATGAACCCGCGAATAAATCCTTATACGTAGTTTTATTTAAAATGTTAAATATTCGCGTAAATCTAAGAATCATTGATAATAACTGTACCTTGCCACGAGATGGCGCTACAGCGCTTTAAATTCGAAATCGTTCGCCGTAAAAATAGATATTTTTTACAACAATTTCATGGAGTTTCTATATTATGGTTAATGGTCTGTTCTAAATATTATACGAGTACAGTCGCAGGCAATTGCTAATCTATACTTTAATATTATAAAGACGCAGAGTTTGTTTGTTTGTTTGTTTGTTTGTTTGTTTGTTTGAACGCGCTAATCTCAGAAACTAATAATCCGCTTTGAAATTTTTTTGCATTAGATAGCCCGTTTATTGACGACGGCTATAGGCTGTATAATATCATCATGATACTACCCAAGAGAGCGGAGTAGTAATCATAAATGTCAACAAATCGGGCAGACTTCCATACATAATGGAAAAACTGATGTTTATAATTAAACAAATTTAACGCGGGTGAAACCGCGGGACAAAGCCAGTAATATATAAATTGCACATTCACAAATATTGTTTATACACTATCAAATTTCTATCGTTTGTTTGAAAACGCAATAACAAAACCGTATTGAATTACATTTTTTTGGCTATGCCGACTCAGTGATATCGAGTTTACGAAAATAAGCATCTATATATATATATATATTATAAATGTGAAAGTTTGTGAATATGTATGGATATTTGTTTCTCTTTCACGCCAGAACGACTGAACGCATCTGGATGAAATTTGGCACAGCGATAGATTATAGTCTGGAATAACACATAGGCTACTTTTTATCCCGCAAAAATGTACGGTTCCCGTGGGATATATTTGTTTTTGTTTTCCTAGAGGTGAAACCGAGCGAAGCGAGGGTGAGTCGCTAGTTTTTAAATAGTTCTAAAAAACTAAATCACGCCTTTGACTAAATATAATGTATATCCTTGAATTAAATTATTTCAAATTCAAACATTTTCCAAACCATTCAAGAGGTAGTAGCCCAGTGGCTAATTACGGGCTTGCTTAAAAAACCCTAAAAACGGGTTCAAATCCCGAGTCTCGCATGCGAACATTTCTAATATGAATACCACTTGTGTTACGGTGAAGGAAAATATCATGAGGAAACCTGCATGTCTGAGAGAACTTAACTAATCTTCTAAAGACATGAAATCCGCTAGAGTGGTGGACTATGGCCGGATCCCCCTCGCATTAAGGGAGGCCCACTCCCAGCAGTGGGATCTTTAAATGAGGTGAGATAGAAAAGTTCCACTATCAACCTCCTGACTCCAACATCAGACCAGCTCAACGGTATCAAGTCACTGTATAGTCATCAGTATCGATACATCAATTAGAATACGTTTCAATCGACTTCAAACATTTAATTACATAGTTACAAGTGAAGTTAGTAAAAGCGTGTTAAAAAGCGTAGCGTTGTTTCACGCATAAAGAACATTATTGCAACTCTGTATTGACATAATTAAAAAAAGTAATAATTAAAAAAAAAATCGACCATAATCATTTTTTACAAAACAAAAAAAAAAGAAAATCGTTTGATAAATAGAGAAGAAAGAAAGTACTGAATTGTTTTGTATCTGCTTATTTATATTTTATATTAGATACTAGCGACTCATCCTCGCTTCGCCCGGGTCCCGTCTACGTTTTAATTTTTTTTGAGCGGAACCCTAATTCTTTTTCTAAAATAAAAGTAGCCTAAATTACTCCTTATAATATCAGCTATCTCTCAGTGTAAGTCTCTTCAAAATCGGTTCAGCTGTTTCTGAGATTAGCTGGTACACATAGACAGACAGATAAAAAAATGTTTTTCTTATATGTAACGTATACAATTCCATATCCATTTAGTAAAAAGCTGTTATTTTGATATTACAAACAGACACTTCAATTTTATTTATATGTATAGATATTTTAAATCCAAATCTGAAATTACTTACAATACAGTTTAAATGTTTTTCCTTACAGCTTATATTATAACTAATTGAGTATAAAAACAAATGTATGAAAACAAATAAAAATATTTCATTTTCAAAACCAATAATTATTTCATAACTATAAAAGTATACCTACAGACTTCAAAAAACGTTTCGAATTTAATTTTTTTTTAGATGCCTAACAGTAGCCTATGTGTTACTCCAGCTCATAATCTATCTGTGCACTAAATTTCATAAAAATCCGAACAGCCGTTACAGCGTGAAAGAGTAATACAAAGATACAGCCTTACCAACGTAGGGTATTCGCAGAAAAACAATCACATCTTGTCAAAATCAACTAAATATGCTGAATCAATTTAAATGAAACTTAACTATGTTTTATAGAAACAAAAACATCTTATTTTTGAAGTGAAACCTCTTTAGAATCGTTGTGATTTGAAACTCGATGGAACAGAAATGCAACACTAAAAAGAGACAAACACATAAATATATAGGATCAAGCCGGCGAGAGAATGAGATAGAATATATAGCTATTTTGCCATGATAACCGTTTTTATTTCACATTACACAGGAAGTGTAAAATAATAAAATTAATTACTGAATAATATGTAATGCATATTTGTGACAAATAAAATGTAAATTAAATTAAAAATATTATAAAAAATATAAACCTTACAATGATCCTACTCCTGATACTCTATATACGTTCATCTCACTCTCTCGTAGGTTACTTTTCTGAAGTTTTACTTCTACCGTGTGTGAATTGAACACAAACACACTTTTATTAACCTAAAAAATATTTTCTTCGACCCTGTTATTTAGTTTTATTGTATAGGTAATATATATGTACGTAGTTAATTTTTAAATTGTTTGTAATCATATTTCTTTATATGGCGCTAGGCATAGAATTCATATATCAAGTTTCAAATCGCTGTTCAAGTCATAAGCTAAAGCGATTTTATATTTGAACAATAATACATATTATATTAATAGTGATCGCTCCGTGGTTGAAAATCAACCATAATTCATTAATTTTGATCGATATTGAGGTTTTTTTCAAAGTTATATAGATAGCCTATAAAACCCAAAAGATTTTTTAAACAGGCCCATAGATTCAGAGATTTGCACGTACAGACATACAAACTTTTCATATTTATTTTATATAAGTACTCGTATAATATTGATGAATATCTAACATCATGCTACATCTTTTAACAGTGAAATAATTATATATAAATAAAATACGCGAGCAGGTTCGCGGGTAAAAGAAAGTCAATTAATTTTGGCTTTCTGCAGTCCTTCTCCATATAAACTTTATCTATGCCAAAACTCATACTCCTCCACATGCAATATGCTTAAAAAGGGATTCAAAGTTTTCTCTTCACGTAATAATATATTATAGATTATTAATCACTTTTTGTACCACACATTTTTCAAGTTTTAACATTAGGTCTTCAAATTACCAACGTGTATTTGTAGGTCACAGAGATATGCTGGAATTTTTATCGGATGTCCTAGTGTCGAAGTAAATACCTATATTTCCGTTATATATATATATAATAACGGAAATATATATATATATATATATATATATACATATACTTTTTATTTATGTAAGATTATTCTCCTCCTAAGCGACTTGACTAATTTTGGTGTTTTTTCTGTGAACTTATGGGGTTGAGCTTATAGGAGTTGGACTTGATGGGGGTCGTTGAAATTTAGATGTTTTATAATTTTTCAAATAAAGGTTTCTTTCCTTAAATGCTCTTATAGGACTACGTCTGGTTCTTCCTATATGTATAGTTTTAATTAAAAAAAAACGTGTGTGTGTACGCATGTAAAAAGTTATACTTCTTTGGCGTAACAGAAAAAAATTAGCTAAAGATTTCAGCCCGTATGTCACAAATCTCTGTTGAAAGGAATTCAGCGTACTTAATCAAGTCGTTTTCAGCTGACTTAATCATGTCGCTCTTTGGCTGTCGGTATGCGCGCGTGTCGTAAAAATTTTACTTTTTTTCCAAACATGCCAAAAGAAGTATAACTTCAAAAATATGTAGATACTTGCTTGGTAATAATTAAATCTAGTCTAAATCGATATTTTTCATTGTGCATTGTTTTTATTTTTGGAGGTTAATATTTAGGGTCATCTTAGAAAATTAAACGATAATTTTTATAAATGCCACTGATAAAACGGCTCATTTTAAAGCTTCGGCGCTATTCTGTCAAAATAATTTAATAGCACAGACAACATATTACACGTTGAATATAAATAATGTATGCAATTAGAGCAACTGTTCAATTTTTGACGACACTTTTGGCTCCGTTTGTAGTGACTCTACTTCCTGTGCCTGCGGTCGCGGATTCGAATCCCGCTGGGGACATTCATTTGTGTGATGAGCACGAATGTTTGAACTCCAGTCATGGGTGTTTAAATAATATGTGTGTATTTAAAGTGTAGTTATATTAAATGTGTAGTGTATCAACTATCTGATATCCATAACACAAGCCTCGTAGCTTACCATGGAACTAGATGGTGCTGTGTGTTAATGTACCAAGATATTTATATATTATTTTATTAGGATGATCTCAGCAGAACTAATCTACATTAATATTATAAAGAGGTATAGTTCGTAAGTTTGTATGTAGGGCGTAATCTCTAAAACTGATCCGATACTGAAAATTCTTTTACTAATTACAAGCTACATTACTGCCTATCCTGTATTTCGATTACAATGTGTTAAGTGTAAGAAATCATAATAATTTTAATTGAAATCGAAAATACATAGTTGTGTTATTATTGGCGGTAACTGCCTAAACGACTTGAAATAAAGATATAAAATGTATGGCAAAAAGACCCTACAGATGCACTAGAACGAAGCGGGGTAAGTACTAAGTTGTTACTTAGAATTATATATAGACTAGCAGAACCCGCGGTTTTGCTTGCGCTAAACCTCATCCCCCATTTAACCCTCTTATGGGATGAATTTCGAAAAATGCTGAAACACGTATTTATTTAATTGTATTGAAGAGCATTAAAACCAAGTTTCAAGTAATTCTGATCATAAATATTTTTTTGGGCTGTATTATAACGTGTTTTCCCGTGGGAATGAGATAATCTCCCACGGTAAAAAGTAGCCTATGTCACTTTCCATCCCTCTAACTATCTACACATAAAAAATCATGCCAATCCGTCAATCCGTTTCGATGTGAAAGAAGAACAAACAAACAAACACACTTTCACATTTATAATATTAAGTATGGATAATTCAAGCGAAAGCAAAATAAATAATGAAATGGGTCTATCACGTAATCGATTCTCAATTAAAACAGTTTCATTTCATTGATTTTTGTAATAACTACTTTGAGTTATGTTGGACCAGACATTGGTCCATACTTGGTAGTTGGTAGGAATTGCTATTTATATGGTTTGGATTTACATTGTACACCGTAAACACCCATGACCGGAGTACAAATATTCGTGCTCTCACACAAATTAATACCTCCAGCAGGACTTGAACCCGCGATCGCTGGCACAGCACAAACTAGTCAAACGTGTTGTCGTTCGATATTTGACTTTAGTGACGTCTAAAAGTTAAACCCTTAATCTCTCCCGTGATCATGTTTGCTGTAAAACATTATAAATGGCGGTAACCAAAAATATACAATGATCTCCGAAAAGATTTTGATTGCTTATGTAATTTAATAAATTTGACTTTTTAGTTAATCTAAAAACAGTAAGCTTAAAAATTTCATAATCTTTTTTGCGACATTATTTGAAGAATATTTTCTGCATTTAATGGTGGAATATTTTTTTAAAAATTATTTAGAACACCGTTGGTGCATCGTTTTAGTAAATAAATATATTGTTGTACTCATTTGCTTTTATTTTTTTAATAAAATTTTCTTTTTGTTTGTTCGGACGCGCTAGTCTCTGGAACTAACAGTCCGATTAGAAAAAATCGTCCCTTGGTGATTCTTTAAATTGATATAACTTTTTTATTCATGAACCGATTGAAAGAAAACAAATACTAAATGTTAAGTGAAGCTTACCACAATACATTAGTGAAAACCGCACCCAAAACGGTTAAGCCGTTTCTGAGATTTACGCGCACAAACGCACAAACAAACGGGAAAAAAATCTAAAAATCATTGTTTTCGGTTTTATTGCGTTAAAAAGACCCTCAATAATAGTTTTTTTCAAATATATTCCATGTACAGACAGCGATCAGTTACAAATTTATTATATGTATAGATTTTATTGCATTTATTGAACGTTATAGGCTATCTTAAATCACCCAGACTTTTAGGAGAGATATATATAAAAAAGCAAGCATAGTCACGGGGTAAAGTTAGTAGAAAATACATACATTGGTCCTAGATTGTCCCAATCTCAAGCCAATAAAGCTTAACTTTGTAGAATCTAAGCTAAATAATATGTCAGTTATTATATATCTTTTGTGCTGGACAGACGTGCGGAAGACGAGATTCACTAGAAAATTTTAAACAATGTAAGTTTATTTAAAGAAATTTTGATATTTGCAAGTCTTTGAAAGCTATGATAGACTAAGCTTTTTCCTTCGGTTTATCTCGCATAGTTGATATATGTTTTATTTCGCTAAGGGTCAAAGCGTGAAGTTAGGCAGCCTATTACATTCCTTAAAAGTTTTTTTCAAATCAGACTGGTTCCTGAGATTAGTGCGCTTAAATAAAGAAAAAGCAAACGTTTCGATAAAAAAATAATAATTAACTAGTGACTTACCCTTGCTTCGCTCGTAGCTAACAGTCTATGTGATACTTGAAGTCATAGCCTATCTATATACCTACTATACTTCATCCAAATCTGTCCAGTTGTTTCAATGCAAAGAGTAACAAACAAACATACATACATACAAATAAACATACAAACTTTCGCAAATATAATATTAGTAGAATTAATAAAGAAAATGGTATACTTACAATTATTTCTATCGCCGGCAAAAAGTTTGTGGAATCTCAAAAAGTCTGGACGTCCGCCGAAAAATTTGCCATTTTGGTTCAAGACTTCCCTTATCAGTTCTAAATTGTTGACAACTAAACACTGTGCGGAGCCAAGCGTGATGCTGTAGATATCTCCGTAGATTTTAGATAATTTAGTGAAAGATTGAAATGGAGATTCATTGTTGCCTAGCAGATGCATGCTTCCTATAATGGGTAACGGTGTCGGTCCCGGGGCTTGCTTTAGTTCTTCAACTTTATCCTCACCATACTTGTTCTTTTTCGCCCATTTTATTGTTTTTCGTGAGAATAATTTGTATACGATAAAAAGGCATAGAGCAATTAATATGAGGGCACTCATTGTTTTTCTAAAAAGAAATTTTAGAGTGGTCACTCCAAATTATAGGCAGAAAGAGCCCCGTACGCGACTGCGATGGGTTTTACTCTACCGCTGTATATATAGTGTTTATAACGCATTAAATTTATTTCCCGCGCAAACGATTTTCGACTTTACACCATTGTTTTATAATCTATGCCGCTTGCAAAATGGTGGTAAATGCAAATTGACAGTTGACGCACTGTCACACGATTGTCAGCTGTATTAATGTTGTTTTATTGCCTTTTTTTAAACGAGCAAAGGTAAAATTGTTGATGCGTTTTTGGTAAAGGAATATCTGTTTTATGCCATCGTGTTTTGTTTAAATTTTATGAAAAAAAAGTTTTTTTAAGTACTTAAATATTTTTGTAAATATTTTTGCGGAAGGATTTTGTATGTAATATGTCATTTTCAGTTATAAAATGATAAATATTGTTGTGCATGTTATCGAATATATTATGGACCTATTTTTGCGGTATTACACACTAAATAAGTACATAGACGGAGTCCGTGAAATAGTAGCGTGGTTTTGTTATTTGCTGATGCTATTATTCTCAATTTTGCTATACTTATTTTTATTTATTAACGTGTTTTTACTTATCACTGTAATTATTGTTCTATAAATGTATGTATATGTATGTATTCAGCCCTTTTTAACGTCCCACTGCTGGGCACGGGCCTCCTTTCAATACGAGGGGGATCAGGCCATAATCCACCACGCTGGCTATGTGCGGGTTGGCGTACTTCACATGTCTGTCGAAAGCTTGCTAGGTTCTCTCAGACATGCAAGTTTCCTCACGATGTTTTCTTTCACCGTAAGGCAAGTGGTAATCAAGTTAGAAACTGTTGGCTTCATGTTTCTATGATACTCTCACATTCAAAATTTTACTTGTGCTATTATTAGGTACTACCCTGGTAGCCTTTTATTATAAAATATTAAAAAAAAAATTATCTATTTATTTATCTATACATATAATAAAATTGTAACTTAGCCGAATCTGTACATTAAATATTTTTTGGAAAATCTTATTGAAATAAACATTATTATCGATACAGAGGACGAATCTATAGTTTTCAGAAATGTTGTCTATCTGTCTGTTACCGCATCACAGAAAAATTACTGGAGGGATTTTGATGAAATTTGGTATGATGATAACTGGTTATCCGGGTCAACATATAGGATACTTTTTATTGCGGGAAAATATGTCACCTCTGAGAAAAAATACAAAAACTGCAATGTAACTAATATGATTATATACTAATATGTAAAACCTAAAAATTTGGTTTTCGGTCATTTGAACGCGGGCGGAGCCGCGAGCAATGCTAGTTAAATATAAGTTTTGAAGTGAAACTTCTTTCGAATCGTTGTAATTTGAAACTCGATGCTCGAAAATGCGTCACAACAAAAAGACAAACACGTAAATTATAGGATTAAGCCGGCGAGAGAATGAAATAGAATACATTACACAGGAAGTGAAAAATAATAAAAATAATACTTAATAATATATAAATAAACCCAATGTGTTTTTTTGACGACACGTTTGGCTCAGTTTGTAGTGACCCTACTTGCTGTGCCAGCGGTTGCGGGTTTGAGTCCCGCTGGGGGCATTCATTTGTGTGATGAGCACGAATGTTTGTACTCCAGCCATTGCTATTATATTATTATGGACTAAGTATTTATAATATGTATGTATTTAAAGTTATATATGTGTAGTGTATCAACTATCTGGTATTATAACACAAGCCTCATAGCTTACCATGGAACTAGATGGTGCTGTGTGTATGTCCCAACATATTTATTTATTTATATGGCGGCCTCTCATAAGATGGCGGACTGTTTTTATGCACCCCCAGACATTAGCGCACACTAACATACAGATGTACATATAAACAACGACTCAAGTATTTTCATTGACTGATAACATATTTAAATTTTACACAGTATCAACGATACCTGCACTAGTAACTAACATTAACATAATAATTGTTTGGTATAGTTGTCAATATACTTATAATAATCTAATACCACCTCATTGACCTGATGCTGCAGCCAAGAGCTGATAGTGGAAACTCTTCAATGGCTACTAGTTACACCATAATGTTTGGGCTCGTTCGATTCGTTATGGAGAAGTTCATACATAACAATTTTTTGTCTTTTACTCAGAAAAAAGAAAAAAAACCATGAACAAACACACTGTCACATTTATTAGTCAATATTATCAATATCAGTTAAAAATTAAATAGAGTTGTGTATATGGACATATGTACTTACTACTCCAGATCATAATCTATCTGTGTACAAATTTCATCAAAATCTATCCAGCAGTTTCAGCGTGAAACAATAACATACAATGTATGTCATACATACTGATATACAAACTTTTGTATTCGTAGGATTACCTACTTGTGATTTTTTAAATACGATATAAAAAAAACACTGTCGGTCCCACTTCTCATCGTTATTTTTTTTGGAAATTCTTTATAATCGCCTTAAATATTCTTTTTATTTCAAACCTGACCTGATCGGTTTAATTCATCTACATTTGTATATACGGATAAATAAAATTGAAGTATATATTTGTAATGTCAAAATAACAGTGTTTGTCTGTTTGTTTCGGCTGATCTCCGAAACGGCTGGACTGATTTAGACAAGACTTTCACGAGCCGATAGCTGATGTTATTTTAGAAAAAGAATTAGGATTTCGCTCAAAAAACTTAAACGTACCTAAAGCCGCACCAGAGCACTAAGTCGCTACTTAGAAATAAAAAGGAGCACGTGTGCAAAGCTGTACTTTTTTGGATATCCAAAACATTTGAAAAATTTGAATTTCTATTGTATTTTAAAGATCCGTTTGACGTAGGTATACGTAATAGGGTGTATGGTAAGCAGGGTATAAATAATTTTTATAGTTTTGTTTCGAACGTTATATAATCTGTATAATTGTTATTGTTAAGTATTTAATAAAACTTGTTATATATTTTTTATCTGTGTGTCTGCTCATTTCTGCGTTTATAAGTCCAGAACGATCTAGATCTACATGAATTTTTTTAAGGAAAGTAAATAAATAAGGCTGTGGTAGCCCAGTGGTAACGCCTTCGCTTGGAAATCCGAGGGAAGCGGGTTCTAAGCCCGGGTCCCGCACATATAATAATATCATGTACATTACATGTACATTTCATGTTCAGACATGCAGATTTCCTGGTAATCATGTTTTCCAACATTGCTGGAGGTGGGTTTCAATACGACGTGGATCAGGCCACTCGTGGTCCAGGTGGTTCGGATGGGCGGACATCACATGTCTTTTAAGAACTTACTAAGTTCTCTTAGACATGCAGACATGGTTTCCTCGCGATGTTTAGTTCACCGTAAGACATATGGTAATCATGTTGGAAATGATTCACACATGCAAATATCATAGGTGCGAGACCCGGGATTTGAAACTACTACACTTGGTTTCCCAAGCGAGTGCAATACCATTGAGTTCTCGCTGCCTTGTTTGCGGATTCCCTTTAGGATGAAATAATTTTTTTAAAGTGATTTTAAATTCATCGACCAATCTCACTGAGACTAGCCATATCAGCAGAAGATATTATAATGCACATCTGTACACGCAGACAGAATTGCACTCTCTATTCCTGTCATTCTTATACTCTGGTGGGACGACACTTGACACGACCAGTGAGAGATCCCGCGTATGATCAAGGGCTTTATGTGCCAAAGCAGGCACGGGGATGTAACGCCGCCAACTTCCCAACTCCAGGCCATTTCTGCAAATTTCTGAGAAAGACTGAATAATTTTTGTCCCAACCCGGGACTCGAATCTAGCACCTCCAGCCACACACCAACCAGGCAGTTAAAAAAAACAACAGCTTTACTTTCAGCTACTTTCCAGTACTTCATGAAAATCAATGAACACATAACGGTTTAGATTTCCCTCATCAAGAACTTCGATCCTAAATACGGTTTGAACGAGCCAAATATTTTGAAACAAAACAAATAAATAGGTCGAGGCAAGATAGTAAACTGCATCTGTTTTCCCGTTTTCAATCATTTCCTCGAAATTAATACGGGGGTGCTATCTTATGCAATGAATAATTCAAACGTGCTACTTTTAATCGAGTAAGGTTAAAGCAAGACGTATGTAAATACAGTAGCTGAAAGAGCTTATTTTTGTCATCAAGTAAACAGTAAGACACGTGTAAAATTAGAAGCAGGTCAAGTACAGAGTATGGAAGTTTCTAGAAAGTTCGTCTAGTGGTCTTTAATCTAGTGAATGTAGGTAGCAGGTTCCATGTCCATGGGCTTGGAAGATGTAAATCATAATTTTAAATGATAATGGTTCTTAGCTTAGACTAAAGCATTATATAGATGGAGTCTGTCAATAAATATGTCAAAGCCAAAAATAGAAGCGTGATTTTGCCATTTATGCTGTTGTTCTCGATTTTGCCATACAGATAGTTTAAAGAAAGAATTTAGCATTTTTCGTTAATTTACAATTTTTGAAAAGAAAATTTGAATAATTATGATCAATACATATAATAAAAATATATATCAGATAATTACAACAATAGCATTCCCAAGGAGGGTTGACGTCAGGCAGGCGGCCGGTCGTAAAACTTTTGCCAAATCCTATCAGCAGTACCTACGGAAGATGTACTGCGCTAACCCTAAGTGATTGGGAAATGGGCAGGGAATGATTACATATAATAAAAGTGTATATGATTACTGTCTGTAGATAAATAATTATTGGGGGTCTTTGCCCAAAACAATGAATTTTAGAAATTTTGTCTGTTTGTCGGTGAGTCGCTTGTAAATAATGAAAAATCTCTTTCCCTAAAAGAGAGATAGCATAATATTAGCTTTTTCTTCTTTATTATAATAAAATTCGTAAGCTATTTTTATTCATTAACATTTATTTACCTATCACAGTGATGAATATTCTATTAATATTTGTATACTAGCGGTTCGTGCCTGAGTGATTTTT